ACCATTGCAGAGGCTCGCTGCCTGTAGCTCAAGCGGCTAAGGTGCCAGCCACATACACCAGAGCTGGCGGGTTTGAATCCAACCCAGACCTGCCAAACAGCAATGACAACTACAACCAAGAAATGGCCAGTGATGTGGTGGGCACCTGTAGTCCCAGCTACTTGGGATCCTGAGGCAAGAGAATCACTTAAGCCCAAGAGTTTTTGGTTGCTGTGAGCTATGACACCACTTAACTCTACTGAGGGTGACAACTTGAGACTCTGTCCCAAAAAAAAAGACCAGTACAGAATGAGGGTTTGGGAAAGGCCTGGCTACAGGAAGTAGCTACTGGCCCAGGGACAGATTGGTATCGCTAACCCCAGGGGCTCATGAAAACTCCCAAATAGAATATGCTGGCCCCTTCCACATGTATCATTTTTGCAAGCAGCCATTGGGAAACAATAGATTCAAAACTTACATCTGGCTGTCAACTCCCCAAGGCCTACTCATATGCAGGTGACAGAATCCCCCTTCACAACAGCAGAGCATTCAGCTAGGTACTTGGCTCCCAAAACCCCACCCTCTACCCTAGATTGCCCTAAACAATTAAGGGCTCAGTTAGCAGGAATATTCCCACACACCTCAAGACTAACCAGAGCAGCAGCTGTTACAGGGCCTACAGTCCTGGAGAGCTGAACTACCTCCACCCTACACTAGAATTCACACACTGGATGTGTGGTGTGGTACCACAATGGTGGTACTACTGCATGTCTCAAATTCAGTTAAAAGAGAAAGGGAAGGTCAAGACCCTAGGCTTCAGTGGTATCAAAAATTCATGGCAGCAAAGGTGAGTTAACACCAGCAGCAAAGAACATGTGGATACCATCTCCTGCTCAACAAAACATTTTCCCTTCCAGCTGGAACTGGGACACCACCTCCACTTCTCACCTTTCTAGGTTCCTCCTTCCTAGAGATCTTGAACATTCATATCCCACAGGTAGGACAACTCCTCTACCCAGGAGATGGATGGTTTAGGATCTCGGAATTCTGGAGAATACTGATCACTCAGGAAACATCCTAAGACTAACTTTCATTCATTTAATGAAAATGTAGTGGGCACCTCCTGTAAGCAAGGCATTATTTTAGAGGTTCTGGATGTTGAAAACATTGGTGAGAGATAAAAATTCCTGCACTATGTTTATACCAAGCTAGGGGAGAGATATACTAGGTATGAATTCAGCTAGCACACGTCTGGTGAAGACCTGGGCAGAATGTGCTCAGGACTCTAGACATAAGCCCAGAGCCACAGTTCTGAGGTGGCTAGCATGGGTCAGAAAAGCTTCTGGAGGAATTTCTCAGAGATAGCATTTTA